CTCCTATTGCTACCTGGAACAAAATAGTTGAAATTCCCTCCAGTCTGACGTCGTAGCTAAAACAGATTCTTACTCGATGGCTCGATAGCAAAGGTGCAGAATGCCCGTCCCTCTCCGCCCACTAGCTATGCAGAATACCTCCCCCCACTAGCTAAAGTGTACCCAATGAAAATAGTTGATACCACGTGATCTGTCAGTTTGTGATATGATATGTGATATGATGATATGTGATACACAGCAGTACTCTGCAAGAGCTATGAGCTTTAATACTACCATAGAAGCAAAAGTGCCATCCTTCCGCTCAAGTGACCTCACTCGTGACCCTGTTTCTTATGGGAGATCAGAAATCCTTTGAGATTATTAATGGGGAAGGTGCTCAAGTTTCTACGGATTTCATGGCTTATTATGTGCGTGTTGCAGCCCCAAAAGAGTTGACCGACCCCAACCTTTTTACTTCTGTTTTAAGTGGGATTCGTTAAAAATAGCCGTATCAATATCTCGGAGCGCCTTCACTGTTTAAAGGATAAAAGAGATATAAACCCTCGTTAATCAGTCCTTAGGATGACACGCATTCTACTCCCATTCAGAATCGCAGTGGCTTATTGAAGGCGATGTGGCCTACAGTAAGTTGCGGTCGCAAGGAAGTCAGTGTTCTAATTCTCCCTAAAGGAATCTGGTACCAGTTTACCACCTCCGGAGGTTAGAAGGCTTGGTTGGCCTGGCGCGGGAGCTGATCCGGGATTTGACCACGTGGAGGGTAAACGAGCCATCTGCCTCTACGTCACCCCGACTCCTTTTATTACACGATTTCATTGAATAGATGCAAGCATTCATGACCAAACGTACGCACTGGTAGCAAGTTCTTGGCTTCATTTAGCTCCAGGCCAGCGGCATTTTCAAGGCTATGAAATGTCCACGCAAGGAACATCATCAGAAGACTTCCTCCGACGACCGCGAGCGAGGAGAGAATTCGCCAAATCGTGAGCGATGGTAGTGGCAGAATGCAAACAGTACTAGCTAATCCATAGGCCTGGCACATACATCCACCATGAGGGGTCATTCTGAAAATAAGGAAACCTAATACGTCACATAATGAAGGATAAAGTTTGAGTTAATGTTCACAAAACCTACTCGATAGTGATAGATAGCGTGAGCTGAAAGACCCATCGCCATCACAGTGGTCAGTCCAGCGTTCATGTTCTCTCTGTAAAACTAACCATAATTTCACTACCCCAACTAGTAGCAGTAAAATCGACATTAATGCAAAGGCCTCCTTGTGTACAACCTGGTAGCTATTAGTGTCTGAGGTCATGAAGTGCGAAAAAAGATCATAATTTTCGGGGTGTCACATCCACCCAGTAATTGTGCCGATTATTTAAGGCTGTGGCACAAAGCCATTGAACCAAGAGGGTAAAGGGCGAGCCTGGTTTTGACAGGGAGTGCACTCTCCAAAAGCGTGAAGTACGGGTTTGAGTCCCACATTCGATCAAGAACTCTAGCCATCACTGAACATTCTTGTGATCTTTCAGAGCGCGAACTGCGGCGTCAAACAATAGTCATCAAACTCAGCTAATCCCACAGGAATGTGCCACGTATCCTACTTCCATCGTGATGGCAAATTTTGTTTCGATTTTGATTCTACAACAGAGGACTTGCGGTGATCACCCCTGCGTAAAACTCGATGTTTGCCACTCTCCGAGACAATCAACACACCCGACACATTAAACCGGAGTGATGGAGGGGCCTGGTGGTGGCCCAAGCGGAAGCAAATTAGAAGTTGTTTTTTTTTTGCATTTGATCTCCGATTTATGGTGTATGGGCGGTGGCAATACCTTGCTGCTTCACTATCGTTTGGAACATGGAAAAGCACATAGAGAAGGGAAATGGCCACTGTTGTAGCTATAGTGATGTGTAGACGAACAGGTGACGAGGAAGTTTATCAGATAGATGCACAGGGAGCCGACGTATCCGAATTAGAATGAACCTCACCATATAACTACAGACCGGCTCAATGTAAACAATGATATATAGAATACAATGATATTCCTAACATAAAACAAGTTGCCTTCTCATTTTCATTCAGCTGTAAGTCCAGTAAGCAACAGCCACAAAAGAGCAGCCATTGAACGAGGAATAATTGATACAAGGGAAATGTAGTCTTTAAGCCTTTATAGTGATAGGCATTAATGCTGTTTATTTTTCCTTAACGGCAGTGGGCACGACCGCTGAAGGCTGGGGTCTTTTGTGTCATTGGTGGAATTTTCTAAGCGGAGTATGGCCAAGCGCCCTTTGACCAACGAAACTGGCAGAACCGCCCACCCCCAGCAATCGTACCCATTCCCTTTAACAATTTCTACGCCAATTATAGCTGGTTCTGGATGAAGGAAGTGCTCAGTTAACCTGCATAAGTTGGGTTCAACTGGTCTTTTTAAATGGCGGGGATCTCTTTGATCTATATCTCGCCCACACTAAATAGGGTGATCAAACCCAGAGGGGGGGAGAAGGTCAACAGGATAGCGTGCACCGATAATGCGATTTAGTAACTCATGTGAGGCATTTGAAGGGAGCTTGTCCGAAAAACAGGATTTGAGAAGGGGGCAAAGTAACAGTGCAGAGATGCGTGATTAGGTTACACCTTATTCGATTAGACTTTACATTAGCGAAGCAGGTGCCTTTTGGTTTACAAATGAGTTTCCAAAGAGAAATCGCGCATTTTGGATGGTTGAGCAGACTTGTATGACATTTCACTCGGTACTTCTAACAATGAACCAGTTATCTATCAAGTCTAGCCTACACATATGTATTTGTCAAGGGTTATGAAAAGCTCGGCTGGCTCAGACCAGAGCGAATTCAAGATGTGACCGCGCAGTGTGCGGTTTAGCAGCCACTTTGCCACCAAACCACCTACCCAATCAAAATTGTAAAATCTTGAACAAAACAGGGATCAAAAATAGACAGGTTATGATGTGAATGGCATTGGTAGTATTGCCGATAGCAGTATCGATCGCAGAATGTCAGGAAAGTGGGAAAAAGTGGATGGCATGCAAAGTAAGAGGATTTTTTGCTGGATGGCCTTTGACATCGTATGGTATCAAACTTTGTCCCCGCCAATAAGGGTAATCAATGTATCATCCGAAAGGAAACCATGTTAATGCACACTGGAATAGAAAAATGTGCCATTTATAAGTTGAAGCGCAAACGAGAAAGGGAACATGTCAGGGTAGTCACGGAAGGGAAAACACCGCGTTATCTAATCAATGTGATGAGGGCCAAGTGTACTAGAAGAACCGGTATTGGGTTCAACACTGCATACCGCACTCAACGACTACAAATTCGAGTTAATAGAGAAGCAACTGTTTGGCCTTGATGTTGTCGACGTCTCGATCTCCGTTCGTTTCGTGCAACTCATTAATAAAAATATGTGGGGGGGGGGGTTTCTTCGGCTTTATAGGAACCTTCTGCGCTACTTTAGATTGTGATATAGTACGGCTACATCTTGTTGAAACAAATGCATTACTGAGTAAGGCTTCAGTCAAGCGTTGATAGTTGAAAAAATTCGCCGAGAAGTCCCTTGATCGATCCTTTGGCATGCGCCGCGCATTTGGATCCCGTTGAAAATACAGTTATTTAAAGGTATATAGAATTTGTGCATTGGTTTGCAAAGACCAAGTACGTCTTTCCTTCTCTCGTCCCAGAAGATCCAGAGCTTATTTGATCTGTATGAGAGTCGACCATGCAAAGTGTGCGAGTGTGTCCATCCCAGTTTTTCATTTTACGGCTATCTGCCACAAGACAAAAAAGACATGAACAATAATTTTTATCGTTCCTGTTGAAAATATCTCTATGAGACTACTACGTTCCCAAAAAGAATTTTTGTTCCCGAGACTTCTCGCTTTTTATTCAGCATGTCTTTCTTTCCTCTGGACGTTCACACATGCGATGGAGACGTTTCTCGGACAGAAATCTCCAGTATCACACTGATGTTCTTTGACACAGTCGTAGCCGAACTGTGTCACAAATGTGGAACGTTCGAACACTTCGAATGTAGGTTCACTTTCTGATATCCGCCTTCAGCAAAAGTTTCAGCATTAACACGGGTTTGGCCGCACCACTTTGCTGCCTAAAATCTTGCTTTTTAACTGGCATCTTCTAATTCTCTCCTGCTTGTCGTCAGCATCGATTCAGTTCTGATACAGATTCATTGAAGTGGCCAAAAAGTGGTGTTTAGACTTTGCGTCCACGCGCTTTGACGCACTGCAACGCCCCTCGACGCGCTACTTGTAAAAACGCTTCAATGGTGTGGACGAAAAGGAGCCGCAGACGGGAATCGATGGGTGCCGACCGCTTCTGCATTGAGAGAGCACACGTTGCCAAATCACACAGTCTGGTATCGATCGGCACTGGCCGCTAGATCCTCGGAGAGTGTGAGAGCAACAGATTGTTAGAAGGCAGAATCTGTGTGCTCCAGTTGACCTATGCTTCAAAGCCACAAGTCGCGCGGCGCCGGATGCAAATACCCCGTCTGTCCGCTTTGTTTCGCGTCTGTAGGATTCGGCGTGCGCTTTGTCCAAGAGTTGCGCGCCAGCGCGCGTGAAGCTGGAAGTTACCTGAGGACAGGTGTTCGGAGCACAGGCATATGTCGATTAGGAGCCAGACGTCTCGACAACGCTGGGGTTTGAGTGTCACCTGCGCGTTGTTCGCACTGAGGTAATTGATTTGACATGGAAGTTTTACTGTATGTCGAGCCAGTGCGAAGAAATACACTGTTACAGTTCTGGGTGTTGCATACTTTCGAGGTTGGTGCTGGTGTTACTAAATGGTTATATAAAAGAAAGGAACATAAACAATAAAAATTTTTGCGAAAACCTTTGGATTCTTTTGGATCTTTTGAGTTTTTTGCAATAAATTTTTGGCGCCTCTTTTATCTGATTCACATTCAGCTGGTGTTACCATTATTTATTTGAATTTAAACTAAGCTTGCTTGGAATTTTATTCGCTGCTATTGTCACCTTCAATCTACATCAGTAATGTTCAGATGAAGATGAAGACGGTGATCGCATCGCCATACGGAGCGACGATGACATGCCTGCTTTCGTGGCCTTTCTGGAAAGGGAGCACACGGCTACCGTATGGTTAGGTAGACTACTTTCCTGCGTTTATTACCCACCTTATACGTGCATAGTAAGTACTGCGGAAGTTTCCCTTACAATCAGATAGACTAGCTACGTACCCATATCCTCTCAGTCTGTTGTCTAACGTTCCACCCGTTCAGCTTCTTGAGCGTTTTCATCCTTACCTCACAAAGTTTAGTATTTTTCCTAAGCCGGCCGAGATTAAAAACGGTGGTTGGGTCACTTGCGATGATAGGTTTCGACTTGCAGGCTCCGAAGAAGGCGATGTTCGCCGAAACGTTAGCACAATAAACCATCTGTACCAATCTCGGGCGGCTAAGGAAACATACTAAATTATTACGTCTCCAATGCTGACAAGGAAAGGATGGTTGGTCGAAGTGGCCATTTAAGACAAGATGCATACACACTGATGCGTCTTCGGACGCTGATTTCAAATCTGCTTTCCATATCTGCTAAACGATTCTCTGAGCAGAGATATGCAGGAGGTTGTTGTACGGAGCACAATTGAGCTTGGTACACAAATGAGACGTGAGTCGTCACACGAAGTGCATCGGTGGCCTAGTGGGTAGTGTGCCGCGCTCAAGTATGCGAGGTGAGAGGTTCGAATCCCTCCATGATTCGCCATTTTGCTCAAAAATGCCTCCTGCACATCCGGAAAGCACTTCTGCGAGGCTAGGAGACCTGATTCTACCAAAAAATTTTATTTCTGATGTGATAGAGCCATTCTGGAACACTCCTAGTGGGAACTCCTGATTGTTGGTTTCGGCGGCATTATTCGTTCCGTCGTGTTGTGAGGCCAAACTGATTCCAGATGGCATGGAAGCCAAAAGGGGATGTCGTGGTTGTTATCAGGACCGTCAGTAACCAACAAGGACTAAGATTTAGCGAGAACCTCAACGCTCCCTCGCTCACAGGAGATTGATAGCGGCGAATTGCACCCAGCAACCTTTAGGAATTGGCTGCCTATGGTTACCCCACTGTATCGAAAATAGGTCGAAATCTCAAATTTGGTTGAAAACTTGTCTCTAGGGCTAATTTGAGCCCCAGAGCACGAATATCACACTCGTTCGGCGTAAAAACGCTTGCCAAGGACGTTGCAGGTTCCTGCACACCCTGCCCCTCCAGAATGCGTACAAGACGTTTTCACGAAATATAACTGGCATGTTGATTTCCAGGGCACTGAATCACCTCTAGTTTCAGATTCCACGCCTTCCAATCGGAGCACCTCCTATACATGCTGCTAAATGCGTGCGTAACCTATTAAAAATCCTGCATAACTTTGTCCAGGAAATCGTTTAGCAGATATGGAGGGCAGATTTGTAATCAGCGTCCAAGGGCCCATCGGGCAGTATACGTCTCATTTCGAATGGCCACTTCGACCAGCCATCCTTTCCTTGTGAGATTAATCGAAAGCCGATCGTGTGGTGTCTCACAAAGTGTTCTGGAAGTTTCATCTTTTCTATCAGTTAGGCCGTGTTCATACTAATCACGGTGGGGATGGACATCGATAGGGTCCGTCGCTAACGATGTGGGAGAATATTGTTAGAATCACGATCGGAGGTTCGCGTGAACGGCATTTTTCTCGACAGGACGGGACAGCTTCGAATCACTGGCTACGCATATTTCAAATAAGCCGCGATTCTAATGGTAGTCGCAACTTTCCATATGCTCCCCGTTGTCAAAAGCATGAACGCAACCTCAATAGAAATCAATTTCAGTTTGTCAGTAGATCTTCCCTGCGATTCTTGACGATATACCGGCGATCATTCCGTCGGATTTGAAACATTTGAACCTCATCTCACAAGGACAGTTCGGCAGTGTTTACAGGCAAGCTTGCACACAAACATTGCCATACTATTCCGTTCTTTTTATTTAGTATAACTTTGTAGGAGCATACATATACCATCTGATCGTGTCCTTGCTGTGAAATGCGTTTCTCTGGATAGTTATGAGGAACAACGTGATAGTGCCATAAGTGAATTAGCTCTTATCAAAAAGGTTTGTTACTGTGTGTCGTCTTTTTTAGAGTAGAAGTTAAATAAGAGAATCCAATGCGATTATTGGTGGTCCCCGAGGGGGGGGGGGCGGGATTCTTTCGATCTATAAAAAAATTTTTGTTCGCTGCGGATAGTGGGGCGTGTCCGTGAGGCTGAATTCAGCATGCCACCAGCTCACTCTCTAGCAGTTGTTGAAGCGGCTAAGCTACAACAGTTGGTGGGAATCGACTGACGCGAAGGATATGATACAGCCTTGTCGCTTGCTCGATCTGACAACAGGGGGCAAACGTGTTTGGCGCCGCAGCCATACCCATCCTATAAATTACGCCTACGTCCCCGTGGTCCGACTTTTGCCCATAACTCAGCATTCTTGTGATAGCTTTCGAATCGCGTACTGCGGCGTTAAACAGCAGTTAACAAACAATATCAGCTTGAAACTTGTAAAAAAGCCTTCAGCCTTGCGGTTCACTGCCGATATCGGCTAACCGGCTCATCACGTTGAACGTTGAGTCTGTAAGGTATGCACAAATCATCCATTGTGACTGTGTCAAAGTGGCCTCGTATCGTAATAGGGAAACTGCATTCGCACGGAAAGGCGTAACATGCGCGCCGTTCGAATCCGCCCGTGGCTGCCGACTTTTTCCCCATAAGCTCAGCATTTGAATATACTTTTCGAATCGCGTACTGCGGCGTTAAACAGCAGTTAACAAACAATATCAGCTTGAAACTTGTAAAAAGCCTTCAGCCTTGCGGTTCACTGCCGATATCGGCTAACCGGCTCATCACGTTGAACGTGTGAGTGCTGTAAGGTTATGGCACAAATAGCCATTGAGCTGAGTGGAGGGGTCAAAGTGGCCTCGGTAGCGTAATAGGGAACGCATTCGCACGGAAAGCGGAAGATGCGGGTTCGAATCCCGCCCGTGGTCCGACTTTTGCCCATAACTCAGCATTCTTGTGATAGCTTTCGAATCGCGTACTGCGGCGTTAAACAGCAGTTAACAAACAATATCAGCTTGAAACTTGTAAAAAGCCTTCAGCCTTGCGGTTCACTGCCGATATCGGCTAACCGGCTCATCACGTTGAACGTGTGAGTGCTGTAAGGCTATGGCACAAATAGCCATTGAGCTGAGTGGTCAAAGTGGCCTCGGTAGCTATAGAACGGCATTCGCTCACGAACGGGAAGCATCGTTCGAATCCCGCCCGCTGGCGACTTCTTGCCCATAACTCAGCATTCTTGTGATAGCTTTCGAATCGCGTACTGCGGCGTTAAACAGCAGTTAACAAACAATATCAGCTTGAAACTTGTAAAAGCCTTCAGCCTTGCGGTTCACTGCCGATATCGGCTAACCGGCTCATCACGTTGAACGTGTGAGTGCTGTAAGGTTATGGCACAAATAGCCATTGAGCTGAGTGGTCAAAGGTGGCCTCGGTAGCGTAATAGGGAACGCATTCGCACGGAAAGCGGAAGATGCGGGTTCGAATCCCGTGGTCCGACTTTTGCCCATAACTCAGCATTCTTGTGATAGCTTTCGAATCGCGTACTGCGGCGTTAAACAGCAGTTAACAAACAATATCAGCTTGAAACTTGTAAAAAAAGCCTTCAGCCTTGCGGTTCACTGCCGATATCGGCAACCGCGCGCATCACGGTTGAACGTGTGAGTGCTGTAAGTTATGGCCAAAATACCATTGAGCTGAGTGACCGTCAAGTGGCCTCGCCGGTAGCGTAATAGGAACGCATTCGCCATCGGAAACAGCGGAAAGTGCGGGTTCGATCTCCCGTGGTCCGACTTTTGCCCATAACTCAGCATTCTTGTGATAGCTTTCGAATCGCGTACTGCGGCGTTAAACAGCAGTTAACAAACAATATCAGCTTGAAACTTGTAAAAAAAGCCTTCAGCCTTGCGGTTCACTGCCGATATCGGCTAACCGGCTCATCACGTTGAACGTGTGAGTGCTGTAAGGTTATGGCACAAATAGCCATTGAGCTGAGTGGTCAAAGGTGGCCTCGGTAGCGTAATAGGGAACGCATTCGCACGGAAAGCGGAAGATGCGGGGTTCGAATCCCGCCCGTGCGCCAGACTTTGCATAACTCAGCTTCTTGTGAGCTATGAATTATCGTTACCACACACGATCGCACACACACACACAACATACATAGCGATTATATTAGTAGCGATTTGCGTGCAAAATTCACCCTGCTCCCAAGTCCCTCCTTCAGCACACCAACCCCAATTCCTCATCTTCACCCCCCCCCCCCACCCTGAAAACCATCCTTACTATTTCCACTTATGCCATTTGTCCGTCAGAAATCAGTCTCTAGTTCCCCTCATAAACTACCCGTAGACGAGAGTGAGGGGTACAGTATATTACTATGTCGTTATAACGGGAAAACAACGAAATAGTCACCAAGCCGAACCAATACCTGAACCGCACTTGCGATCTCTTTCTGGGCCTTGACATACGACGTGTTCTTTTCGCAGTATGTCGCATTTTTACAATATGTTAGTAAGTAAATCATGGTGCGATAAGTGAAATGCAGGCCACACCATTGGCGATGTTTAGTCAGTCTTACACCCCTCCCCCCCCATAACAACTCTTCATTCACTCGCTTTGCAGTGTTCCTCTTGTGAGTACATAACCGACCTTCTTGGAGCTTATATGGATTCGCAGATTTTGTACATCTGCTTCTGCGAATATATGGTAGAGCTGCAATAGGACAGTACGCGCGTTTTTTTTTTACCTGTTCTCATCTCTCCCTGCTATTCTTTCGTAGTCGGGTGCGTTCAAAAGCATGAAACCTTAACAGGGAATGCCGCCCGCATACCACTCGCTTCGAAATTGTACAGAGCCATTCTCATCCCGCGTTGGCATTCAATTTACACACAAACACGTGAAGACTACCTTGAGGTGTTAAGATAAGGAGAAAACCCTGCCTCTACAGGTCCGATTCCTGCCGATGTTTTGATATATGTAAGTCGGAGTATTTTCGAAGCCCTACGCTATCTATGGAACAACAAAATTATTCATCGAGTTGAGTTTTAGTTCTTTGACAAAGCGCAGTCTCATTTTAGAGTTTTCTCCCACAGCAGAAATGATCATGAACTCATCATTTTTTTAGATTTAAAACCGAGCAACATACTCGTAAATTCTGAAGGCTATGTCAAACTCTCGGACTTTGGTATATCAAAGGTGATGGAACACTCAATTACGCGCACCTACGTTGGCACTACCATCTACATGGCCCCTGAACGCCTTCGCGGTGGCGTTTACAGGTTCGCTGTCTTTTACACAACTTTTACAACAACTTTTACATCTGACAGAGAAACAGCCGAAGGCAATGGTATGAATTGTGAAGCAGCTACTTCGCTTGGGAGCAGGAGAAAAGTGTTGTTAGAAAGGAGATAAGTAATGAAATCTAGTTCGCTGTCGGCTGCCCAGCGGCTAACTTTTTTCTACGGGGAAGAGGGGACACCTTGTGGTGTCTGTTTGTATATCGGTTTGAAGTCCACAGGGAGCCGTAGAAGCTCCACGATGGGTGAGGCCGTTATGGCATGTGAGCTATACCCCTCCGATTGTAGACAAATCCTATCAGATCCCTCTGGCCCTCTAGGGTCCTTTTACTCAACTGACTTGTCTAAATCGCTCCAGCAATTGATGAATCCTTCACAGAGCTATTGATGTCCCTCAATCACAATTACCTCAATCATATCAAAAGTAGGCTTCGACGTTACTCTAATAATTGCGGCGCGGCAATCACATGAGATTCCGGATAAACTGACCGAGAGATTCGCCACGGGATGATTGATTTAGCATAAAAATATCAAGCTGTCCAGCTAGGCACATAACTATGTACCTGCTGTTCCTCGCCAGACATCTTAATATTTCTACGCTAAATCAATTCGTATCAAATCAGTTTATATCATAACGTGGTACTCTCAACCGGCACCTTCTGTTTGCCCAGGTTTTACCCTGAAACCGGCTGTCTCTTCGCGCAGCGTTTAATATTAAAGAAAGGCTTACTATATACTGCATTTATTTGAGGATAGAGTCCGATATA